CAAAAAGTCAACCTTCAAATAATTATGTTCAGTTATGCACTCAATACTTGGTCGGGAATCCTTTTGCAGAAATGCAAATTCAGTGCGGCGTGGCATGGAGGCAATCAGCCTGTGGCACTGCTGAGGTGTTCTGGAGGCCCAGGATGCTTCGATAGCGGCCTTAAGCTCATCCTGAGTGTTGGGTCTTGCATCTCTCAACTTTCTCTTCACAAAACCCCACAGATTCTCTACGGGGTTCTGGTCAGGAGAGTTGGAGGGCCAATTGAGCACAGTACTACCATGGTCAGTAAACCATCTACCAGTGGTTTTGGCACTGTGAGCAGGTGCCAGGTCGTGCTGAAAAATGAAATCTTCATCTCCATAAAGCTTTTCAGCAGATGGAAGCATGAAGTGCTCCAAAATCACCTGATAGCTAGCTGCATTGACCCTGCCCTTGATAAAACACAGTAGACCAACACCAGCAGCTGACATGGCACCCCAGACCATCACTGACTGTGGGTACTTGACACTGGACTTCAGGCATTTTGGCATTTCCCTCTGCCCAGTCTTCCTCCAGACTCTGGCACCTTGATTTCTGAATGACGTGCAGAATTTCCTTTCATCCTAAAAAAGTACTTTGGACCACCGAGCAACAGTCCAGTGCTGCTTCTCTGTAGCCCAGGTCAGGCGCTTCTGCTGCTGTTCCTGGTTCAAAAGTGGCTTGACCTGGGGAATACGGCACCTTTAGCCCATTTCCAGCACACGCCTGTACACGGTGGCTCTGGATGTTTCTACTCCAGACTCAGTCCGCTGCTTCCGCAGGTCCCCCAAGGTCTGGAATCGGTCCTTCTTCACAATCTCAGGGTCCGGCCACCTCTTCTCGTTGTGCAGCGTTTTCTGCCACACTTTTTCCTTCCCACAGACTTCCCACTGAGGTGCCTTGATACAGCACTCTGGGAACATCCTATTCGTTCAGAAATTTCTTTGTGTGTCTTACCCTCTTGCTTGAGGGTGTCAATGATGGCCTTCTGGACAGCAGTCAGGTCGGCAGTCTTACCCATGATTGCGGTTTTGAGTAATGAACCAGGCTGGGAGTTTTTAAAAGCCTCAGGAATCTTTTGCAGGTGTTTAGAGTTAATTAGTTGATTCAGATGATTAGGTTAGTAGCTCGTTTATAGAACCTTTTCATGATATGCTAATTTTTTGAGATAGGAATTTTGGGTTTTCATGAGCTGTATGCTAAAATCATCAATATTAGAAACAATAAAAGGCTTGAACTACTTCAGTTGTGTGTAATGAATCTAATATATATGAATGTCTAATATTTATCAGTACATTACAGAAAATAATGAACTTTATCACAACATGCTAATTTTTTTTAGAAGGACCTGTATAGTGGCTTTGGAATAATAAAGGAGGTTATACCTAAATTATACTAGGGATTGAATTAAAGTCTCAGAATGTCTTCGCTGATTTTAAATATTGTCTTTTTACGTAATAAGCAATAAAACAGAGACATAATGAGGCAGAAACACCTATGTTACATTTGGGCTCAGTACTATGAAACAGCATGCTCTGATAAAGCGTTCCGGTCTCTGTCACCAGCAGTGAGCAGCGTTATCGGCTGTTTCCCACTGCTGACCAAGCTTTAAATGCTTCCTTCGAGCTTGAACTCTTACAGGACAGTGGAGTGGAGTTTTTTCATTTGAACACAGTGTTTTATTTCAGAAAACCAAGCTCTCTGTGGTTTTTGTTGATCTGAATGAACTCACATGCAGATCTTGCAGCGTGGGCGATCCGGGAGCTGTGGGGGACAGCGAGTAGCTGAGTTCACGTGTGCGCTGGCGGCCCGGGGTGTTATCAGTCGGACTGGAGGATGAGGTTTTCAGCACCAGGTCTGGCAGACGGTAGGTGTCGTCCAAACCCAGAGGAGACACCTGTGGAGCCATCCCAGAGGAAACAGAGAGTTAGAAGATGGTACGACCTGAAAATAGACTAAAACGGTGTTTTATGCTTTCTGGGAACCTGGTGGAGATTACGGTGGGGCTGCAGGACGATGCCATCTGGTATTCTTCGGAAGTGTTTGCCTTTTCCGTTGGACAGGCCAGACCTTGGAGTAAACAGATGTAAGAGTCAGCTAGAGCAGGTGTCTCCAATGTGCGGTCCGGGGGCCATCTGCGACCCTCAGAGTGACTTGTGTGGTCCACCCAATGGTACTTCAGGCAACTGATGCAGCTGGACACTTCCGTTTGATTATTTTGTATTTTTACAGACATCAGGCCTGTTTGTGAGTACTACAGATTATCCACAACATAATCTTTTAGATGAAAAAAAAAAACATTTTTAAGTGTGGACACCTCTGATCTACAGCTAGGTGTCCTGCAGGTGACTGCAAAGCATTCTGACCTCTTTCACCCCGCCCCACACACTGGGACAGCATCCTGAACTAGAGTTTATTATTTTAGTGACCAGTTCTGAAATTCACTAGTTGGATTTGGGTGTGCTCAATGATGGTTTAGAAAAGTCCTGCAGGGGTTTTCAGGTGGATCATTTACAGCAGTGATTCTCAAAACTTTTCCATCGCGACCCCCTCCAAGGAACATATAATCACTATTATATTTCCTAACGTCTGGAAGCTGTTAGGGGATCTGAAAAGTCATTAGAAATGGCAACAAAGCTGCTAAATTGGCAACTGCTTGGCTGCTTCTTCTGTTGGTTAGGCTGAGCGCTGCTGCCACCTAGTGACTGGAGGCTGGTTTAGCGTTTAGACATGAAAAATGACAAAATAACAATGGGTTCTCTGGCTTCTTGTGTTTCTAAAATCGGCTAATTTTGTATCATTGAATGTTTCATAACTGTGGTGCTTGGAAACAAAGGGAAAATAGCTGGGTTCATCTGCGAGAACAAAGCTGTTAGCTTCTTTTTCATTTGCTAAAATGAATAAATAATTTGAGTCTAATTTCTCCAACACAAAGCTAACATTGGGAGTGAAGATGTCACCTGTTTCTGTCCTCATCATCGCTGCTGCCGACCTCGTCACTAGAAGAGGAGCGTTCTGTGGCCTTGTTGAGCCGACCCAGAGCAACTTTGACTCCCTGTGAGGGATTAAAACAGGAGTCAGAACATGAAACTGGATCAATCTAAAACCATAAAGGTACCAGATTTAGAAAACGACATAAGAACCTACTTGTGTGTGCGCTCTGGTGTCTGTTTCCTTCTGCTGCAGCAGACTGCGGTGTAGGAGAGGACTTTCCAGCTGGAAGTAACCTGATGGAGGAAGAGGAGCACACAAATCAGGAGAGCTTCAAAAGGTGGATTTCCTTTACTCAGTCGGCGTTAAACAAACATTTAAAGCAGAGCTCAGGTCTGAAGTCCCACTGATCAGAATATTTCTAAACAGGCATTTGGATGGAAGCCTTGTTCCTGTTTGAACAACATAATCGTCTGTTGTCATGAGCTATTTTATCTTTACTAAGAATTCTTGAGTTAGACAACATTATCGCCTGGACAACACGTTTAACCCTGAACACAACGTGTGTGATTCAGTTAGCTCTGAGGGACCAAGCAGAAGAGCAGGAAATTACGACCACTGACAAGAAATGATCGCTCTATAATCTATTCTTTCAACGGTAGGTTTGTTTGAACAGTTGGAGACTGAACAATAATTAAAAAGAAGTTATAAACTTCAAAATATCAATGAGCAACACCTGCTCCCAGGTGTGTTTTAGACAGGTAACAGGCTGATGCTGGGAGCCTTCTAAACTTGTTACCTGTGGGGCGATAATGGCAGAGGAGTTACGCGCCTGCCCTGTACATAGATGGTTGCAAGTTCGCACCCCATCTTTCACAGTTTTCTGCTAATTTTCCTTTTAAGGAACAAAATGATTCCTTAAACCAAACACTGACAGTTGTGGAGCCTAAGTTTCCTCCCCTTCCAGTCGGCTCATGCGTCCCTGAACGGAGCTAGCCTTACGCTCTGAATCAGAAATATCTTCAATTTAAATTAAAAGTAATTATGTGAGTTTCGACTAAGTCTGTCACATAATTTAAGATTTATTAGCTTGTTAAAGTTTGTACATAAAATAACTACAAATCAGAAGTGGGATACATGACATCACAGCAGAATCTCTTCTGCCTTAGCCTAGCTTCTACCCACCACATGACCAGTTTTAAAGTGGTTTTCTCCACGTTTAATCCCTCTTCTGTCATTCTAGAAGAAGGATTCAAGCTTGCTAGACTAATCATCTCCTCTTCTTCGTGTCTGGTTCAATGATGTCAGTATGGTGAGATGCATTTGAGCTCTACACGTCTCTTCACACAAAACCTAAAATAACTTTTGCCCCCGTTCGAAAATAAGCACCTTCTTGGCATCAAAAGGTGTCTAAAACTCGGGGGACCTCATATGTGAAATCCGTGGCACATAACAAATGCAATCAGAAAATAACTTTTATTGACTTGCATTGATTTTCTCTAATTTCCAGAGACCCAAGGTCTGGAAGCAGAAGGGCGTGACTTAGGCTCCCTATAAAGGATGGACGCTCTTTTTCCCTTTTGGAGTGTTTATAGGGGCAGTTGAGAGCCACATGGCAGCACAAAAGGATGCATATTTGCACGATATGTTCCCTATAAAACATGAAACACAACAAACATCGAAAACCCAGTTTGAATCCTAGTAATGAGCAGCAGAAGCTCTCTGTGTCCTGGCCTTAAAGGAGACATAACATGAAAAACCCACTTTTTTATCCATTAACACGGTGTGTTTCACATTTTAAGTGTCTAAGTGAGCAAAAAGGCTTATATTATTCACTGGAGTTGCTATTTAGATATTTAATAATTAAGTTTTGGGCATATTTGTCCACCCGTTCAGTTTTTACATTATCTATTACATCAGTAATTAATTTAGTGAGGATAACTACCAAATATGGTAATGGCCCTCGGCTAAACACAGAGCCAATCCGCCATTTTTTCTTCTCGCTAAGATTTTTTGTAGTCCTATTTGAAAAATGCAGAATGTCTGGTTATTTTAGCCACACACAGCTCAAAACTGTTCCTCGTTTTAAGGAAGGGTGGTGTGGCAGTATTTAAACCCAGGAGCTGATGACACTACTGCTAAAAAAACACAGAAGAAAAAGTAGTGTGTTTGTGTTTGTGTTTGTGTGTGCGCGCGCGTGCGCGTGGTTCGTTCGTTCGTGTCTCCAGGCTAGTAAGTACTGAGGGCTTCATCTATCTAAAAGGAGTCATTTTTATCTGAATGTGGCAGCACCGGGACACAGCAGCAGAGCGGTAAGCTTCATATAACTCAAAAATGTCGACAAACTTTACTTTAGATTTACGGGCATTAGCAGCACTAAAGCGTTAGCATCCGGCTTGCTATCGCTAGCACAGTATGCTAGTAAAGTTAGCACCCAGATTAATGTGGATTTGGCTGATTTTCGTGGAATAAAACGTGATTTCTGATCAACGCCTTCTTTTACACCAGATGATAACCTCCCACTGATTATAACAGCAGAGAGCCTGTGTGTTATTCTACGTGAGTGTGATGTAATCTTAGCATCCAGTAAATAAAGTCCCATATCAGCTAAAATGCAGCGTGACAAAGTCATTAAAGTGCGTCAACACAGTGGATTTAATAGAGTAGTAAGTCTGTCTGCACTGCTCTCTAATGAGCTTCCTTTCATAAGGAGTCATTTGTATAATTTTAGTGTCACTATTTTATTACATTTGTAAGAAAATATGAAGTCACTGCAGCAAAGTGAACTTGTGAACAAACACAAACGTGACTATAAACATGAAAGCTAAAGAAACAACTTTCCTAAAGCTGCTTGTAAACAAAATATGTCATTAAAGTTATTGTCTATCATTGCAGAATATGGCGATGACATCATGGAACTGGTCTTTGGAAAAGTTTTCCCTGAACCAACTCCGTTTCTAGATGAGGTAGAGAAGATCTGCATCTCACCAACCCTCTGATCTCAGTATTCAGACAACGGAGGTCTCCCACTGTTATCCAGGACCAGTTTGAAGCCCACATACTGCCCCTCCCTCATCATCAGGAAACATCAATCCGTATCCTGAGGACAACAGAAGACGGCAGGAGGACAGGAACTCTGAGACCTAGACACCACCAGCACCGAGACACAAAGCACCTGTGTGCACAACGCCTGTTTAACTACTAAAACCTGTTTATTATATTGTTCTACTTATTTGCTGTGAGGTTAATACTTAGAAAATTTGTATATTAATGTAAACAATTAAAAGAATCACTGATTGTATGTTTTCTTTTAGATGTAATGGTCCAAACTCAGCCTTGTAGACATTTATTGCATCCTGTAGGTAAATATACAGAACAGGCTGAGGTCCAGGATGACCCAGCATGCTCTTCTTCCATTCTGGCTGTTAGGGATTGTATCAATAACTCAATGCCTACCGATGTTTTCACCTAACGGTATTTATTTAGAATGCAGGTAAGATTTAACTATATTTGTTAGCAAAGCAGACTGATCTTTGGAATTTCACTGCAGCACTGATGTCCACCTCTCTGTACACATTAGAGAGAATTACCACTTTACAGCTAAACACATTTAATAAAGATATAGGCTACGCATTGCAGACAATAAAAACAAAGTTCTAAGCATTAGAATTATAATGATCACATTAAAGAACATTTGGAGGAATGTTATTTATTTTTGACTAGAATCTCAAATCTTTAAATTAAAATGTAACTGCTTTTTATCCATTTACAGCCATTAAGACACCCAATATAAAATAAGACTACTTATAAAATTATTTATAATTATATGTATGTATATATATATAGATAGAGATCTTAATAAAATATATTCTTTTAATGGTGTTTTAATGAGCTGTATCATTTTTTTAAAACATTTTTTATAGAAATAAGCAAGCAGCATTCCTTGTGTGTGTGTATGTACAGTCTATGGCCGTGACGGATGTGTGTGTATGTGCGCGCGCACGTGCCTGCTCGCTTGTCCCTCCGTCGGCCGTGACGGGTGTGTGTGAGTGACTACAGACAAATGCATGAGAGCGTTAGCAGCCTTGAAACAGCTTGATGAACTACTCTCCCCACATGTTTTAAAAATGCTAATATGCTATGCTAAATCTGCTATGCTAAATAATGATTTCTCTATAGAACTACAAAGTCTGACTGGGGGAGGAGAGTACAGGTCTGCACTATGGAGGGGGGCGGAGTTTACAGCTCCTCCTCCAGTTTAAAGAGACAGTACCCCAAAACGGCTCGTTCTCAAGACTCTCCTCAGAACAGGGGTAGATGAGGGTCTGTAGAGCAACAATAATGAGGAAATCAGACCAAAGAACTGCAGTTCCACTGTATTTAGACCCCAACTGAAGGATTTAGATGTAAAAAGGAATAACTTAAAAGCATGTTATGTCTCCTTTAAAACCCCTACTCAAAACCATTCAAATGTATTTTACTGCTGCAAAAATCTCAACAACACTTCATTCTCAGACCTGCAGAATACGTTTTTCTCACCACTGCTGCAGGAGCTTCAGATTAGCAGCAGAAGTTAAATTAACAAGTGTTTTTATTCCAGCTGCACACACAGAAGGTGACTTTGAAACAACAAACCACCCTGTCTGCCAACAGCAGTGGCCACATCAGAGGAAACAGGAAACAGACATTTAAGCAGGCATATTTTCATCGTTCCTACAGTCTCACACACCTGGGTGGTTCCTGTTTGAAGGGGAGCCTCCTTGTGACACGAAGGCTCTGGTCTTCTCCATCGGAGACACCGGACTGCCACTAGATGGAGACAGAGACACACACACACACACACACACACACACACACACACTCAGGGAGGGAGGTGAGGCGGCATTTTACATATCTATGTCCTAATCTAAAATATATTCTCCACGCCGTCGCAGCAGAGGCCCAATTTCCTCCCCGTTATTTTGGTCCAATCTGAAGCAATCATCCGTGTTAAAGTGATCAGATCTGCTCAGAGCCAGCTGCTCTTTGATGGTGAACACAAACGCTGACAGAGACCCTCATAACTAATACAACATGAACATTCTTCCTCAGACTAATGGTCTTTAGGCGTCTCTCTTCATCTAATTCACGAGAGCAGCAGCTGGGTGCCAGTGATATAAAGTACCCCAGTATATATTTACTGTTTTCTGCTACAAACCCAGTTTAATGTCCACAAGCAGCTCACGCACATAACGAGAGGCTATTTCTAGGTCATTATATATAAAATACAGCTTTACCCTGATAAAAATATACTCCTAGAAACAGAGCTTCTGGAGGGCGATTATGTAAATGTCCAGGCACGTTTATTTTAATATGCAAATGTGCTCAGGCACAGCAAGTTCTTCTGGGTCAAACTAAGCAGTCACTCCCAGGCAGACTGGGTGATGGCCTGGGGGCCAATCTAGGGGCCTTCTCAGGTTTTATACGGCCCAAAGCGAACATCTTACATTCTTTTATTTATGACCAACCAGTGACTCCAGTTTAAAAGCTTTAGTGGTCAAAGTCAGGCAGGGCAATACAAGGAAACACTCGGCTGAGGTTGTCGTAATTCATGCTTTAAGGGATTAAATCTGGTTATTCTTATAACCAGAATCAGAAGGTGTTATTGCCGCATGAGCGAGAATCACAACATTAGGAAATTGCTGCCATACTTGGTGCAAGAAAAATAAATGAGAAGCAAAAACTAGAAATAAACACAATGAAATGATAATACTATAGGGAGGCAATAATTTGACAAGCGGCTACTATAAGAGTCAGTGTCAGTATAAAACACCGCTCTTAGAAGTCCCTCTAGTTAGGGGCTTCAGATGTGAGGATCCTAGACCATGAAGTCTCATGTTACTGACGTGCCAAAAACATCGTAGCCATCTGTTTCTGACCTGTTTTCAGTGGGATGGTTTTATGTTTATTTATTTATTTGGCAGACGCTTTTATCCAAAGCGACGTACAATTGTTAACCCACAGGGCGTGTTGTGATCTGTGGGGGAAACCAGAGTACCCGGAGGAAACCCACGCATGCATGGGGAGAACATGCAACTCCACACAGAAAGGCCACAGCCGAGTTTGGAACCTGCAACCTTCTTGCTGTGAGGCAGCAGTGGTAACAACCGCGCCACCACGCAGCCCGTTTTAGATGTAACACACCTGGGTCTTCCTTAAGGTCTCCTCCCAGTTGGACGTGCCCAGAAAACCTCACCAGGGAGGCGTCCTAACTAGATGCCCGGGCCACCTCAACTGGCTCTTCTGAGACCCTCCCAGATGAACGAGCTTCTCACTCTATGTCTAAGGGAGAGCCCAGACTCTCTGCAGAGAAAATCCATTTTGGCCGTTTGTATCCATCATCTAGTCACTACCCAGAGCTCATGACCATAGGTGAGGGTAGGAACAAAGACCAACCTGTAAATGGAGAGATTTGCCTTTCTGCTCAGCTCTCTCTTCACCATGACTGACCGGCACAGCGCAGCACCAATCCAGCAATCAATCTTCTGATCCATCTTTCCCTCACTCGCGACCGAGATCCAGAGATACTCAAACTCCTCCACTTGAGGCAGGACCTCATCCCTGACCTGGAGAAGGCATTCTAGCCTTTTATGACTTATTCTGAACACCGTTTTATCTATATGTAATGTTGCTGGGTGTTAATTAGGGCTGCACAATTGAAAACAAATGTATTATCATAGCAACATCAGTGTGTGCAACATTATTATTGCTAAAAGCTGCTGGGACAGTAATAACACATACACTGTTATATTTCATGTCTGTTAATTCAAGCGCTACATCCAATTAACTGTTTTTAGACCAATGTGCTGAGATGCCTGCTCCTGTTTGTTTTCTCTGTTACCAGTAACATAATTTCATGTTTTACATGCAGCAGAATCAGCTGCCAGCTGACGCCGATGTTCTGTTGTTTGGACTTTAGGGTGCAGCAAAGAGGGAGATGTTTGTGAGCCAAAAACTGCTCTGATAATAAACAACCTCGTAGTCTTAAAACAGAAATCTGGAGTTCACCCCCAGAGAGCGCCGTCTAGAGGTGAAAACATGTATCGCATCACAAGACATTCAATTAAAATTTTAGGAGGCTCTACAGCAGGGGTGTCAAGCTCAAACTCACACAGAGCTGAAATGAAACTCTGGGACGGAGTCGAGGGCCAAACTTAATATTTTTTGAAAAAGTGACGGCAAATTTGCACATTTTCTTTATCAACACATATGCAATTTTGAACCTTTTAATTTGGAAACAAACTTATTTCTGCATTAACACTGAATGTGGAATAACCAAATTACACACGAGCAAGTCAGTTTTAAATAAAAGGCATCAGTGGTATTCATTACTTGTGGTATAATCAGAATTTTTAAAATCTATTCAGGATTTGTGTTTTCTTGTTTATTCATTTTTCTTATTTTTTATTCTCCTTTTTTCTCCTGTAATACGTGTCATCGCTGCTGTGACATCTAGCTTTCCCCACTGAGGAACAATAAAGGGATTTTCTATTCTATTCATCTATCTGCAGCCTTTCCACTTCCTGTTTACTGTAGGTTAAATCTTTTCTCACGGGCCAACAACAAAATAAAAATATCATTTTATCTTAAAGGAAAATGCAACATCTCACCTGTTAACTTTCATGTTTTGGAGCAGAAAAAGAGCAGAAAACCAACATATTTAAAGCTCAGTTTGCTCCACAGGTTTACTGTGATGCTCACCTGTTCCAGCCAGATACCTGCATCATGGGGTTGATCTGAGCTGAGGAGGAGACTCCTGTTGTTTTGTTCATCTTCATAATAATAATGACAACATTAGATGACAACAGGTGCTCACATAGGTTTGTGCTGCTGAACATGTTTTTTCCTATTTTTATTCACCCTGTGTCTTATTGATTTTTAGCTGTTATTTTTGGGAATTTTGTTGTATTTCCTTTTTATCTTTTATCTGTGTTCGACATGTTTATATAAGGCCTGTTTAATTAACCAACATTTTTAGTGTACAGCGCCTTGTTTGGTTGTAATGCCTTGTGAATGCGCTTTATAAATAAAATTGGATTGGATTGGATTGGAACATGCCTGAGCAGCTTGACCACGTTGTTGTGTGTCGGGGAGGAAAAATAAAAACTACAGCAGCCATAGAGTCATGCTGGTTTGAGCGTCGCTGGAGTTATATCAGCTCTGTCTGGAAGTTAGTTGGAAAACTTTCTCTTTCAGTCGTGAACACATTACTGAGCGGCTAGAATCTCCGTTTCTGGGCTTCAACGTCAGAAAACAGCTGAGTGACCTCGGCACTGAGTGAGAGGAGTGTTTAGTTTGTCCGAGACAGCGGAGCTGCAGACACTGGCAGCAGGCGCTGGAAAAAACACAAAGGAGGGGGCGCGTCGGCTCCGCGCTAATGCCGCAAAGCATCATGGGAGTTGAAGTCTTTGCGGTAAAATCGGCCAGCGGGCCAGTTTTAATATATTTTTGATATTTATTTCGCGGGCCACATAAAAATGCTCCGTGGGCCACATCTGGCCCGCGGGCCTTGTGTCTGACACATGTGCTCTACAGGATGGGGGATGGGCTTAGCAAAAAAACATAAATATTGTCTACATTATCTCACAGTACACGTAAAGACTCCTTTAGGGATTTCTAAAAGAAATCATACATACATCTTGAAAGGGGGTGTTAGATAAAAACTGATTTTCACCTTCTCTTGTTAATAATGATGTTCTTTCAAACAGAGTTCATTAGCCTTATTCACATTTAAAGTGGTAAATACAGTATTAGATGCATGGAAAATGATTTTGTCTGGGTACCATCTGGTGTTCTTGAAGTCAAACGAAGGTCCAATCCTTGTTTATATTTTGTTATTCTCCTTTGGCTCCGGCAGGGAAGTTCAGCCTTGCAAGTCTACAGTTCTGTTATCACAAAAAGTGGGTGAGCTTATCTTTAATGTGTGTGTGCTATGTTACTTGTGAATAAAACCTTTTGAGAGCTTCGGCTCGAAGAGAGAGACTAAACAGATATCCCATTGGTGCGTGTCTTTATTTTCTCTCCAGTTTTGCAAAATGTGGTTGTTGATTATTGGTTGTTTATTGATAAATGGTATTGATAACCTAATATTTCTAACCCCTTTGCGTGTGTTGGACTTTCTTTGAGGTACGCCTGGATTGAATAAATATAAATACCCAACAGGGGGAAAACTCCAGATTACACCTTTAAAGTGTATTTAGCTGGCATAAGGGGGCAGTGCATACCTAAATAAATGCAAGCAAGCAGTATTTTGAGTAAGATCTTACCCACGAATGGCCACTAGGGTCAAAAATCCCTGGGGGCGCAACCTCCAGCAAAATGACAAGAACATCAGACTCCCTTTCATCACTGGTAAGGAGTGACGAGGTAAATGTGTAAAATGTTTACGAAATCAGTAAATGCATTTTGTCCTCATGGGCTCCCGTAGAAGGAAACATGGTGTCTAATATGGCGTCGCCCGGAGACTTAGACCCGCTCTTATGTATTTTAGAGCCGATTTTTATGGTTATATGTTACGAAGCCTCCAATATTTTTCAACAACTGAGCATCATTTATTTCATTTTCAACGTTTCGATGGATATTTCCAGAGATTAATGGTAAAAACTACACATTGTGTCTTTAAAGCCATAACTAGATCAGCGTCTTATCTTCATCAAATAGCACGACTCAGAGGTCTGATGTTCAGACAGGACCTAGAGAAACTCATTCATGCATTCATCTCTAGCAGGCTGGACTATGGCAATGGACTTTTGATTGGTCTTCCTAAAAAAGCTGAAGCAACAGCAGCTAATTCAGAGTGCTGCTGCTAGAGGCTTAACAAGAACCAAGAGAACCGAGCACATCTCTCCGGTTCTTGGATCTCTACACTGGTAACCAGTAAACTGCAGAATACACTGCTAAGTACTTCTACTAGTTTATAAACCACTCAATGGCATGGGGCCAGAATGCATGTTGGATCTCCTTCAGGTATCTCTGAGATCCTTAGGAAAAGGTCAGCTGGTAGAACCTCGGGTCAAAACCAAACAGGGTGAACCTGCTTTTAGCTACTTTGCTGCTCACAGATGGAATCAGCTTCCTCATGACCTCAAATGTACCCCAACTCTAGTAACTTACATCAAAATTGAAAACCTTCATGTGTTCATCAGCCTTTGAAGACTGTTCTGTACTGTAACTGCTCATCCTTTAACTTTGTCCTTTTCTTTTGAGTTTTAAATCAAAATTTAATTTGTGTGTACTTTCTGTCATGTTGATTTTTAATGTTCTTGCTATTCTTGCTAATTGGAAAGCACAATGAATTGCCTTTGCGTATGAAATGTGCTATATGAATACAGCTGCCTTGCCTTGCCCCAACTCTTTCGGTAGATCGGAAACAAGCACAAAAATCAGTGAGTTTGTTTTCACGTGCTGCCAAAGTGCCCGACTCTGAGACGCAAACGTATACATTGTGTAGAGGTACTGCACCTTGAAGCCGTCCTCTTGTGTCCCATCACAAGCTCTCTGCAGTAAAATTTAGAAGTGGTGCGTTCTGGGACCTGGAAGATACAAATGCACAGACACCAAAATCAAATCAAGCCCCTTTCAAGAACTTTTAATGTGATATTTCAAGATGTTCCAGCATCTTTCATTGCAGGTGCTTTATCATGGATGGACAGCACCCGTTTGCTCTAGATGACTACTTCACTCCTTGTCACTGTGCTAAAACAGTGCTTTTTGCGTATTTGTTAATGATATTTTATCAAAAGCTGAAGAAAGGAGCCATAACAACACAAATCTCAGTGGGGTTGAGCTAAAATCTTGTGTTATTGTATCTCAGAGTCAGTCCCATTGGACAGTATATGGTTGGTAGTATTTTAGTGCCCAGCCTTTAAAAATGGTTCGAGTCTTGTGTATTAACCATGAGCTGTAAAAATACTGGCACTTCTGTCCATTATGTGTCATAAACCACTAGATGGATTTGATTGAACCTCCCTGAATGTAACCACTGAGTGTACTTCTAAAGCCTACAAGCTTTTGGAGTCAGCCCTGTTAAAGATGGCCACCATAGCCAATGGACATTAGCAACAATGGCATGCTCTCCATCGATTTTACAGGTGCTGAGCTGGGATCTAATGTGGTAGAAGCTAGCAGTTATTCCAAAGTATCGAGAAAACGACTTTTATAAAAAATAACTTCTGTGGGTTCCAGAGATCGTTGTTGCCTTTAGGAGGTTCAGCTTCTCTCAGCCGTTTGGGGCAAACAAAGGAGCCCGTGAACATCGATATTACACAGATGTTAAAAGAAGATTTAGATTATAATAAATGTTAATGCATGTGGTGTTGGAAAGGTAAAATGTGTCATATCTGTTTTAGGAACCTGAGGGAATGTCATGAGTGTTATTTTAGTTGAGAGCAGTAAGGCTCCACCTCTAATGACTTGTTGCTTGGTTAACAATACAGTAGGTGTGTTTCCACTACAAGAACTTCAGGGTACATTTACACCTGACTGGGCCGTTTTCAGGAACCTTCTGAGTACTTGCTCTGGAGTAGGCACTCAGATGGTTCCTGAAAATGGCCCAGTGGACTAGCTAGGTGGAACCTCCGGTTAACTTGCGCTGATTGGTTGGAACTCAGTAGGAAATGACATCAGCCGATGTCCAAAACAACAGGCAGCAGTAAAATTAGAAGGGTAGCTGGTGAAGCAGAACGGAAAAAAAAAAAACCCACAAAAAAAAACAATCGCATTTAAAATCTAACTCCCGACCCGGAACACTGTGTTATTCCCCCACAGACTTAATTTACGGGGCTCGTCTCACAAAACTCAGAGCTGCTCTTATCCTCTGAATGGATTAAATTATGATATACTTCTATAAAATAAATGCTTTTAATATTATTAATGTTACTTTGGGCGCTTTTTGAGGCTGATGAGTGACATCACTCACTGCCAAAGCAGTCGTGCTATGCTGACATCTGTGCAAGTTCTGAAAGGGCTGGATTTGAATGGAGACACAACAGCTCAGAGGACTGGGACATCCTATCTCCTGGTCAAGTTCCCCATCCCAGGAACTACCCTGGAGTTCTGCTAATGGAAACGTGCCTAATGAGAGGAGCCTGAGCATGGTTGTCTAGTTGCTTCTGCATTCATACACCTGAGGTTTTAAGCACGCCTGGTCATGTTGAGACACAACAGACTGCTGTCACCCTAGTCATCCACCCCCTGCAGGTTTAGGTCCATTCAGACTAGAACCTCACGCCACAAAAACAGCTTCTTCCCCTCTGTTGTTGGACACTAAATAACTACGCAGCTCTGTGCTGGTCTTAATGTTACTTGTTTCATTCTGCACCGCTCCACCAAAGCAACCTCCTTGAAATGGGAAACTTGGCAGTAAAAAACATTTCAATTAGAAAAAAGTTAAAAAGCCACAGCAGTGACACACACCAGTGGGAGAGTACAAGGAGACATCACTACAACCTGTTTACCAACTGCAGCGCTCTACAGCTTCATGGGCTCCACCACTGACCCTTCAGCAGGCGGACTGAAGCAGAACTTCCTAAGGAAACCAGGGAAGACCCTCAGGATCTCCCAAAAGCCCCTTGGGTGGCTCTCAACCAGAGCTGCGTGTATCACATGGCTTCTTTTGTCAGGTTTTGACTGAAAATGTTTTTTTTATCCAGATTTTTAATTTTCTTAAATCCAACAATGTTTTAGATATTTTTATGTCTGGTTTTCATCCTCACCACAGCACTGAGACTGCTCTTATTCGGGGTTTTAACGATATTTTGCTTGCCTCAGATTCTGTTTTTCATGTGTTGTTGGTGCTTTTAGACGTATCTGCCGCTTTTGACACTGTCGACCACGCACTCCTATTACAGTGACTGGAGCAGTTAATTGGAATTCGTGGAACAGCTTTAGAGTGGTTCCGCTCCTATTTCAATGGCAGATGTTTTAATGTTGCCCTGGGGAACTGCGCCTCTAGAGTGGCACTTCTTTTTTGTGGGGTTCCCCAGGGGTCCGTTTTAGGTCAGCTTCTTTTTAATCTATATATTTTACCTTTGGCAGCCATTTTTAGAAAATTCCGGGTAAATTTTCATCTCTACGCTGACGATTGTCAGCTTTATATGGCCCTAAAATCTGCTGGCCCTGTGCAACCACTGACTGCCTGAGTGAAGTCAGGTCCTGGCTCTCGGCTAATTTTCTCCATCTTAACAGCTCCAAACTGGAGGCTATTTTCTTTGCCCCCTGCTCCCCCTCGGCTGTGGAGCCATCTCTGCCCCCTTCATTGTCAGTTTTGGTGAAGCCAACAATTACAAATTTGGGGGTCACTCTGGACGCTTTTTTAAAAATGGATGCACAGATAAATCAAGGTCAAGGTCACAAGGTCACATTTATTTCTAAAGCACACTTATTGCTTCCGCAACCCAAAGTGCTGTACAACACAGAAGATAAAATCGCAAACAAGTATAAATAAAAACCATAAAAACAAGTTAGGATAAAAACAACATTACATCATACAATTATAAAATCAATAAAAATGAGAAAGAATGACAATGACAAAATAAAATCATCCTACATAAAAGCCAGGTTGAATAAATGAGTTTTAAGAAAGGACTTAAAAACATCCAGACTTTGTGAGGTCCTGATCTGCAGAGGAAGACTGTTCCAGAGTGTAGGACCGGCCACACAAAAAGCCCTATCTCCTCTCGTCTTTAGGCGAGCCTTTGGAACTGATAATAAAAACTGTGAGCCCGACCGCAAATTCCTGGTAGGATTGCAGGGTGACAATAAATCATCTATATAAGGAGGGGCCAGACCATAAAATGATCAGGTAGTCGGGTCATGTTTCTTTCATCTTCGCCGGCTGGCCAAACTAAAATCTGTCCTGAACAAAAAAGATCTTCAGTCAGTTGTTCATGCTTTTGTAACGTCACGTCTGGACTATGCCAACTCTCTTTTATATGGTATTCCCTCCTCTTCAGTGGTACGCGTCCGATTGGTACAGAATGCTGCCACAAGGTTTCTTACGGGCATAGACAGACGGCAGCATATCATCCCTGTTTTGGCTAATTTACACTGGCTTCCAGTTCGGTTAAGGATTAAGTTCAAAATTCTCCTGTTGGTTTACAAATCTCTGAGTCCCTATGTTCCGGCGCGAACCTTGAGGTCCTCTGACCAGCACCTTCTGCTTGTCCCTCCTGCCCGCTATATGGCCCGTGGCGAACAGGCTTTTTCAGTTTGTGCGCCTAAACTTTGGAACCAACTCCCCCCGACGGTCCGACTTGCCCCCTCCCTTCCCACTTTTAAAGAACATTTGAAGACATATTTCTATTCCCTGGCCTTCCCGGCTGAGAATGTTTAACCCTTGTACTTTCCTGTTTTTTTTAATAGTTTTTATTTGTTTCATCTATTTTGGCGATGTATTGTCTTGTACAGCACTTTGGTTGGCGTTGTCGCTGTTTAAATGTGCTTTATAAACAAAGGTTGATGATGATGATGATGATGATGATGATGATGATGAAAAGAAATCCACCAGTTCCTCAACCTCAGATGATCTGTTTAAATTTGCCGCACGAGGCAGATTTAACTTCCTTCAAGGAAAGCTTCGTCTTCCAATGTCCTCTTATTTCGTTTTAAATATCTGAAGTTTTAAAACCCAAACCCACCCATGTCCTGATCACATGACACAGCCACAGACAGGAAGCCACCATCACATGCTGCGCCCCCCCCCCCCCCCCCCCCCCCACACACACACACACACACACATACACACACTGGGCACCATTTCCTCAGGTGGCTGCTGTAACGTGAGGAAATATGGGTTTTCTGTGCCAAAGGTCATTTGACTCGGCTGGGTCAAGAGCTGGGCCGCTGAGAACTTTCACCCACAGATTAAGACCTGAACGCCAGCGAGTCTGGGAGAAACCATAACATCTGAACACCTGCAGTGCCAGAAGATGTGTTCCCATGGAAAAGTAGTCATAACATAACATAAAGTCTTAAACTTCCTTTCCTTTATTTTAAGTTGTTAAATGATCAGTATTATCACTTTGCTCATTATAAATGTGTTTTAATCAAATGAATGATTATTATGCTTTGGGTAATCATATCTATAATGAATCCATACTTAATTAAATAATGTTTGAGGATGTTTTAGCGGTGACCTTCACACACTCAAACACTCACACACACACACTCTCTCACAGTAAACTCCAAAACACATTTGCTCTGACGCACAAGTTTTGCTTTGAGAAGAGAAAGGCTTTTGGTAAGTTTTCAGTTCATGATTCAGTTCGTGCTCGACAATGAAAGAGGGAGGACTTGTGGACAACGCCAACGGGGAACGGAGCTGCGGCTCCTTTCTCCCCCCCCCCCACGCTATTCCGGTCAAGCCAGACAGGAATAGCTGAATTGCAACCGCTAACGCAGACTCGTCCAGAGTCTTTGATTTTCTGAGTAATTTAAACTTAAGAAAGCGCATCTGCAAACGCTTCATCATCACGTGTACCGAGGTCATCTTCTGGACCGGGTCGCAGCACGCCTTCGTCTTCTCTGCCAGCCGAGGTGTCACCCCTGGATGAAACATCGTCCTTTGACGTCCCGGGTCTAAAAGGAAGGTCCGAATACGGTGAGGCAGTCCACGAGAGATAGCGTCTGATGCATCTTTTCCAACAAAACCTAAGTTTATTCAAACCATCACTTTTCACTCAGACACCTGTTTCTTCCTGAAGCAAAATCAGACGCACACACGCATTCATCTCACCTCATTTTCAATTCTCACTACATTTTGCACACACGTACCCATAATCACATCACATCACACTCAACCTTCAGCACATCCCACACCAGGTCTATTTGAGCAAGTTTACAATATCAGCTGTTAAAGATTGTTCAACAAAGTTGCCAATGTTGATTGTTGTTTCCTCTGCTTGTTATTTCAAAATCATTAGTTTAATTTGAAGAATTAAATCTTTTAACTTTCAAACTTGTCTCTTCATTGAACTGAAACACAGATCCACGGATATTATCGACAGTTTGTCGATGAAAACAACCTTTGAGTCTTCTTAAAACTATAAAATATGTAGGATGGTTCCTCTTTCATAAAAGAGCATAAACCATTACTCTACATGATTAAAAGAGCCTAATCAGGTTCACTACACTGCTGAACAGAGACATTTTTACTCGTGCTCGAGTGACACAGGCTTCATCAGGTGACTGGCACGACAACAACAACAACAACAATATCCTCTTCTGTTAGCAGCCAAGAAAACAAATCTCATATCTGTTCTTACGGCTCATTTCTGTGGCTGAGGCCTGCTGCCTCTGTGAGCCCGCGTGTTGTGGCAGGAGAACGGAACAGAAAAAACTCACTTTAGGTGGCATCTCAGCCGGGTCCCAGAAGACATCATCTGTCAGGGACAGAGGGGACAACGGGGACAAGGGGGAGAGGGCCATATCTGACATGGAGCTGCTGTGAGGGGTGTCTCGACTGGAGAGGAGATTGGCATTCTGGGAAAAAAAATTATTTATGTGTCTGTAAAGGAACAAGTTACGGAAGTAAATACATGTGTGTGTGTGTGTGTGTGTGTGTGTGTGTGTGTGTGTGTGTGTGTGTGTGTGTGTGTGTGTGTGTGTGTGTGTGTGTGTGTGTGTATGAGTGTGTGTGTGCATGCATACCTGGCTATACTGAGCTCTCTTCATGGCTGGTGTACAAGGACTGGAGCTGCTTCCAGAGCCCAGCCTTGAGTGCATCTGGCTGGGCAGCCCAGCAGCCAAAAGCACCCTGGCCAGCTGAGACTCCTGCAGCTCCATCTGCAGCACAAACACGTGACTTCATCTCCTCCTTTATTATTCTAATAACGCTATATTTGTTTATGCTGCTTCACGTTTTACTCGTAAGATGAAACTTTGGTTTGCAGCATTTTACTGTTAGTTTCAGCTGTAGGGAAGCACAGCCCTGACAAGCTCTGCATGAGATGCTGAGATGATTCAACATCGCATCTGATGACATCACATCAGCGCTGGCTTCCATTTTAATGCAGCAATCTGAACAGTTTCAGATTGTTTCAAAAACAAAGTGAAACACGTGTTTCTGCTCATGAATAAAGCACGATCCAACAGCATCTGATTCCATTCACACCAAATCAGATCTACATAAACTAACAGGTGAGCCTAACTAGTGGACTCTGACCCCCGCCTGCTTCGGTCTTCTGACCTTTTACAGCTCCTCAACTTTGAACTACTATTTATTAACTCTTAAAGCATATCTTTCCTCAGTAATTGTTGTAAAATACAGAAGGCACAAAGAAAAGTAGCGGAAGTTAACACTGAAACAAATTAAACAAACACAAAAAGCCCAGAGGCGAAAAACAGACGTGACCTTCAGCGGGGATGCAGGGCTGCAGAGTAAAGCAGGGTTTACCACTGAGGGCTGTCTGGGTGAAGCTGCTGCAGCAGCCTTCTGCACACTAACAGCTGTTTGCTTCTGGACGGCCGCTGCAGGCGTGTCCCTCTGCCTGTCCTTGTCCCGCTGTCGGTGGTCGTGCTGCAGTGACAGGAGCTGGGTTTGGTCCTTGGGCAGGGTGCGGTGAGACCTCCTGCCCGCTGTGGGCTGCTGGTGCTGGGCTACAGGCTGAGGCTTAGCTTGCAGCTGAAGCTGTTGGACCTTGTGCTGAAGCAGCAGGTTGGCAGGAGCAGCTCTCTGTAGCAAACACGAAAAGCGCACACACACACACACACACACACACACACACACACACACACACACACACACACACACACTGACAAAGACTGGAATGTCTGCATAATAAAGGACATAGAAATGTGTAGAAATGTGTGGAGCAGTCACACAGATTAAAAAGACTCATTAACTGACGCAGATCAGTCACCTCCTCTCCTACAGCATTTATTTATAACGATGTGAGCCTTTTTCCTTGAAGGAATGATCATCACCGCTTTTTCTTTCTGTTTGACATTAAAATAAACTTCTACCCGACACTCAAGTCTTGTGTGAAAGACTCTCAGCTACCCTAACGCTGTAACATTCTCTGGATTAAAGCCCTTCTTATGTTTGCTGGCCTTGATTAGCAGTGGCAGCCATCTTTAAATGTACAATGGTTTCCACAGCTTATCAACATTAATAATTTATTTATCCCATTGGAGACAAACCCCACACAGATTTAGAGTCACTAATCTATCTAATGAGGACGTTGTTGCTCTGGAAACTGGAGTTCTTGGAAAAAGCTACGCCTGCACAGAGGAACACGCCAACTCCACACATGAAGGTGTAGCTCCATCAGGTAAGAGTGCTACCACCTCCAGCTACTAACCGACTTCAGAATGTACAGAAGTCCGTTAACGTTAGTGCTCGCCTGCATGACCATGCATGTGTGGTGGACTGGGAGGAGCTTACTCGTGTCTGTGAGGAGTTTAGAAGAAGAAGAAGAAGAAGAAGAAGAAGAAGAAGAAGAAGAAAGGATTTTTTTGTGTAGCGCCTCTCAAGATAGAAATCACGAGGTGCTTCACAAGAGCAACAAAATGTTTTAAATAATTAAAAAGATCCTAATTAAAAATGGTAGAAAAAAATTGACATTTAAAAATACGAAAAAATAAATAAATAAACACGGGAGCCTGAAAAATACAGAAAAGGCATAAACAGCAGCATGAACAGAGGGTAGTGATGAAGAATCAACCGAAGGTCCCACCAAAGCCTGAACAGGTGAGTTTTCAGCTGCTTCTTAAAGGAGACCACTGAGTCCACTGATCTCAGGCTCAGGGGGAGAGAGGTCCAGAGTCTGGGGGCCACAGCAGCAGATGGTCTGTCACCTTTGACCTTTAGCCTGGTGTTGCACAACCAGTAGGCTTTGGTCACTGGACTTCGGGGACCTGCTGGGGGTGTAGGGACTAAGAAGATCACCAATGTAAGATGGTGCTTGTCCATGTAAGGCCCTAGAGACCAGAACCAGGATCTTGAAATGAACCCTGAAGTTGACTGGCAGCCAGTGAAGCTGGAAGAGAAGCGGGGTGATGTGGGTGTGTTTGGAGGACTTGGTCAAAAGCCGAGCACAGGCATTCTGAAGTTAAATCTGAATTGTCACTTTGCTCATTTTACACCAAAAATACCACTTCTCTCTGAATTGCAGGGATGGTGGTTTTATATCAGAGTAGATTTAGGAAGTTAGACTAACACTTATGTGTATTACATTAACTCTGTGATACAGTCCTCTGTGGCGCCCTTCCAAAATCAAGCTGCTGAGGAATGGCCACCTGGAGCGAGTAATCTATGCATTTGTAATTTCAAGGCTAGATTATTGTAACTTTCTTTATGCTGGACTGGGTCGGTCATCACTGTGTTGTCTTCAGACCATGCAGAACTGAGCTGCTAGGTTTCTGACTGGGTCTAAGAAGCGGGATCATCACTCCGGTGCTGGAATTTCTGCACTGGCTTCCGGTCTGGTTTCGGGCACAATTTAAACTTTTGGTTTAATTTCTTCCAAGGAGCTGCCCCTCTCTATTTAACTGCGCTCCTGAATAGACACATTCCATCAAGCTCTTTGCGCTCCTCTAATCAGGCCCGCTTGTGTCCCTCGTACTGGCTTTCGGACTTGCAGGGAACGGGCTTTTTCCGTTTTACCTCCCTCACTCTGGAACCAGTGGCCACTCTCACTTAGGCTGTCTCCATCGCTGCCGGTTTTTAAGAGTCGTCTTAAAACTCTTTTTATTTAATGTAGCGTTCCCTGATCATGTCTAAGACTGGCCCTCAGTTGTGTTTTTATTCTGTACTTTATCATGTTTTTGCTGGGCTGGGTCAGTTACCATTCTTAACCCATGTTTTATTTCTTTTATCATGTTTTTAATATTATTTTTATTCATTGTACTGCTTTCTAGTGTTTTATGTGCTGTGTCTAGTGCCTTGTGCTCCCGAAGGGCACTTTATAAATAAAGACTTGATTGAACACATGTGATCAACTCAGATAAATAACTCCAGACCCGACTACTATTACTCTGAAAATGTTGAAAGTACTTTATTGGTATTAAAATGAACTAAAAAATGTTTGTGGATGTAAAAAGTTCGGTTTGAGTTGGTTCTGTTCTGTCGGTGATACGGCAAGTTGAACATTCATTTGCATTTACGGAGGTTTGACAAAAGCCTTTACTACAGTTGACCCAGAAGAATGTGATCATCACCTAAAGGGCTATTCAAGTCATCCGTTTAAAATTCCTGTATTTTCTAATCTCTCAGGTAAAAAAAATTGTACTGTGATTTTTCTCAACAGCCTTAGAAAAGATGGCTTTCAAACAAAAGCAATAAACATGGCGTCCTGGCTGAAGGCGGAGTTTAAGAGGCTCACATGTTTTAATTGTGTATAATAACAAGCCAAGGTTCTTTAGAGTAAACGTGAGATATCTGCCACGGCTGAAACAGAAAGCAGCTTCTAACCAAATACCAGAGAAAGCGAAGAGCTTGTTTCGTATCACGGTGCCACCACATCAGGACAGAGGGACAAGACAATGAGGAACTTAAAGAGGCAGTTAGAGGAAGTGTTTGTGCATCCAGGAAGGGACTGCAAACAGAACCATGTTCTAGTAAATGTGTGTGTGTGTGAACTCCCTACTGAGATTACAGAGACACATTTTTGTGGAGAGCCTGAGACAAGTTGAAAGAGAGAAGCTACAAGTGAAGTGAAAGGTTCCTGCTGCGAACGAAGCAGGCCGGGATGGCTGAAAAGAGGAAACGTGAGCGGGAGGGAGGGGGACAGTGTGCTGGGATCAGTAGACAGAGCACAGAGATGAGGAGGAAGAGTTTCAAACAAAAGCGATGACACGCTGTGATCAACGCTGGACGAGGTGTACAGAGCAGCTCTCTCTCCTCACTTTGGTTAAAATAGAAGCCACTCCTTTTAGATTTATGAAAACGTTCAGAATGTTTGACTCCTTCAGTGTGGCGCGTGCACACACACACACACACACACACACACACACACACACACACACACACACACACACACACACACACACACACACACACACACACACACACACACACACACACACACACACACACACACCTGAGAAGGAACTTTATGAAGAATTGCTAAAATCTTCCGAGGCAGCTGCTGCCCAGACTTCCATCACAAACTCAAATACCTGTCTGATGTCTGTCCCTAAGGTTACCATGGTAACCAGGATCGTGCAACAGTACATTATAAACGTAAACCTTGGAAACCTGCAGTCTTTACTCAAGACAAAAACAGCACGGGGTGATCAGTAACCTGTATGCTACACAGAGACACAACTCAGCACCAAAATGGTGGTGATGTTGAACATTCTGCTCAGTTTCGTGGCTTTTTGTCAGACTCTGAACCAGGAGTGGCTGCAGCCAGAAAGCCCTGAAGCACACAGTGACTCCGCCCCCTAGCTAATCAGCAGCAGACAGTTGTGACGCCGGCACAGGACAGATCACTTGGGATCTCAAGCAAGGAGGAACTGAAAAGTCGAGGGAAAGTAGGGAAAAAACCAAACCAAGCTGTTGGAAAAGGAGGTCAGACTGAAGCGCACCAACCCGAGTCACGCTGAGTCGGCCGTTGGAAAAGGCCCAAAAGTCAGGCTGCTGAGCCACTCAGGAATCATCATCAGAGCTTGGCTCTGGCTGAGTGGGCCAGTTTGGGTTGATTAGGAATTGGATTGGATCTTTCAGCCCGTTGATAACTCTGCTGCAGATCACGAACCATTCTGGAAGTGTAGCCCGTAGAAAATAGACCCAGCCTGTAAACTTAGAGGAGTGCCGCATAGCTACGTCTCTGGGACCATCTGATCCTCATCGCTGTGGAAACAGACCTGTCATTATTATTACAGCGGCTACTAACTTTGCAGGCGTTACATGTGACGCTTGCACATCTGGTGAATAGACGTGTGTTTTTACTTTTCATGGCTGTGGGACATGGAAACAGTCAGACTCATGAAACACTTGTTAGTAAGAGCGATTCGCTGCTTTTACAGCAGCACCCTTAACTACAGACATATAGCTCAGTCACTGTGCTCCTCAAGCTGCTCTTTAGACACCTCCACAGGTCACTTCATCTTCTCTCTGTCCACCTCAGTGACAACCACAGTGAGCTCTGCTACCAGCCAAATACTTATCAGTCTTTATATCAAAGTAGAGCCTCCTCTCACCCTGACACACACACACACACACACACACACACACACACACACACACACACACACACACACACACACACACACACACACACACACACACACACACACACACACACACACACACACACACACACACACACACAACTAAAATATTCAAGTTACCATTTGATGCAGAAAATACCCGAGAAAAAAGAAAACATTCCCCAAATCTGCAAGAGATACACCTGAAGGTCAACCCTCTCTACACGTGAATTTCCACACAAGCGTTCACAAATTAGACTAAATCAGCCGATTACCGAGAAAATAACACAAACATCTGACTTGGAAAAAACTAGAATAAATTTAAACTGATCTGCAGCTAAACAAAACAAACAAAAACAAAACAAGTAAAACAATAAACATGGGTAAAACTGGAACAAATAAGTGGAAAAGCAAAAGCAAACGTTCATTACCTGCTCTGCTGTGGAGTCCGGGGGCCTTAATGATACATCAGCACTCTGCAGTCTGATGGGCTGGTCCTGTTTAAAACACACACACACACACACACACATGCACGCACGCACACACACACACACACACACACACACACACTTAGTTGAACTGGGTATCTTAGAGGTTGACAGCTGAAATATTCAGCACAGCGAGCTTTTAGCCGTCTGCCTCCATTCTGAATATTTTACATCACCTCGTTTTTAATTTCTCCTGGAAAAACTGGACCATTTCTTTGGTAACATTTACATTTGTTAATGAAATGTACCAGATGTAAACTTGCGCAATGATCGCACCACTGCCTTCAAATTGTGTTTGTTCACCTCTAACCTGAAGGGTGACTTTCAGCAGCGGGCGGATAGACTGAATTCGATTCTCAATGTGAATCTGCAGGGCACGTTTCCTCTGAGCAATGAGCCGGGAGAACAAATGTGCTCAATGAAAAGTAGAAAAAGAGCTTTTAGCTGTTTAAAATCCCTCTCTTCTCCCAGATCCAGTGTGACAAGTGGCTCAGAACGCTGCTGTTCAAACACCAGCGATCAAAACCAAAACATCAGACCTGTTTTATCTGTTTTAATCTGGAAATACAGACATGAAGCACCCTAACCCCACATCACACACTCACTGAGTTTGTCACATTATTAAATACAGATGCATTAAAACCTAATGAAGCAGCTGATAGATCATTATGCATGTTGAATCTAATGACTGTGAAGTCTGAGTCTAATATGAGCAGACACACACACACACACACACACATGGTGTAATGAGACAGAAATCAACAGCTTGAAAATGCGCTGGTCTACGGAAGAAAATCACAGCCACCAGGCTCCATCATGGCGTCAACAACAAAAAAAGCAAAAATCTTCTTCTGCTACTTCTAATTGACGAGTGGTGACCTGAAAAAGCTAACTGCTAGAATTATTGTTCGCTACCGGCACAGTTAACAGCCAACAGCTGTAAACAGGTAGAACCCTAACCTATTGAGGCGACCCGAGCCATCTAACTGTTAAGTGCAGTCTCTCAGCAGAGGGCTGCAGAGGGCTGTACAATCTGAAGTTGGCAGATTTTCTACCTCAAGAATAACTGAAACCCACTTTGAAAGCAATAGCTTAAAGTGTTAAACTCTTTAGAGTTGCTTTAACAGGCGTGGTCTGAGCACGCTCAAATACAAACTATTGACAATGGAGGGACAGAGACATCAACCTTGTGAGGACCCATCCTCTGGTTCTTCACTGCTTAGACCAGCTGCGAGTAGCTGTGAGCCTTCAGATTTAACCCCGCTCTTACCTCGGCCTATGTCCCATCACCTAGCAACCGTGATGGCAATAGACTAAAGTTCAAATTAGTGGCATTAAATGTTAGAAATCTGAGAGATGCCAGATTAGCTTGTTTACAGGAATTCGTATTAGTATTCCTAAAAATACATACATTTCAAACAAATGAGCAAACAAAAAAACCTAACAACACAACTGCGTTAAGCTTTTAATGTTTAACTCAATTATATCCTACTAAGGGTCTGGTGTTCTTGCCTTAGAAGAGGAAGACATTTCATTCCCTGGATTTCTCACTCACTAGCTGATGTTTCGGTTTCTGTCGGCTCCGGTCTCAGTGTCGCCTTCTTCTGACTGGTTATATATGTTGATGTTTGAGATACAGCTTCAAAAGAAGAACGGCATAAACTTCAGATGGTTTTAGACTTTGTATATGAAAACTGTCACTGAAACCTTAAAATTAAACCCAGCATCTCAACGAACACTGGCTGCTGGATTCACCTGCTAGTGAATTTATACCCCTCCGACGTTGAGATATTTTGTAAACTCCAGAAGACGTACCAACAGCACAACGGCCCAGCCCAGTGAGATACTGGTAGTTGAAGTCGTTCTGATGGTTGACTTCTGCGTTCTAGATGCTACGGGACTGTGATGGTTCTGAATGGTTGCTAGTTCTCTGTGGTTCCCTGCACCAGAACCCTGCGTCTGTGGCTCAGAGGTGCAATCACGACCACTTCCCATCTGTAGACGTTACACCAGCTAAGAGACTTCCACCTAACCTACATCTGCCTCTCTCTGCTGTCTGAGATGCTCTGTCATCAGAACCGGGTTCCACTTCCTGTCCCCCATTACTGCCAACTTCAATAGAAAAGTTAAAGACATAATAAGCAACGTTTTCATATTTTTACCTAATTTCCTTGAGTAAGTATGTGTTAAAAGGACAATGAAAAGTCTCTCAGCGTCCTCTGGATGTTTTACAGATGATAATGTATCTGCAGAACAAGAGCTGTTAATATTGATAACTAGTTTATGTAACTGATAATACTAACCCTATCTAGGGCTGGACGATATGGCCCAAAATCAATTTCACGATATATTGAGGATTTCACCTCGATAACAATAAATGGACGATAACTACAGGTATGCATAGAAACTAGGGCTGGACGATAATTCAATAGTTCAATATATCTATCGATAGACATGTGGCGCGATAGATAAAAACTGGTCGATAAAACTTCGATAAAAAAGTTTCCTTTTTTCATTATAACCTATCAGGTAGCAGCATACTAGACTCACTACTTACTCCTAACCAGTCAAAACCACAGCCTCAGCACGCTATGTCACCAGGCCCTCCCCTCTCAAACACAAACAGAGCGTGGGGCCAGGGCCAGATTAACACTTTGTTGTACCCTGGGCAACAATATTCAAGGGCCCCATCATCACGACCCAAGGATCACCATAATATGGTCACATACAGAATATTTTACTGTAATATGCAGTAAATATACTCAATACTTGAATGCCTGACATCACGTAGCCCGCTAAGGGTAACCTTTGACCCACCTCGTGTGGACTGACCTATGAGAGGGTCTTAACTTGAGGCCCTCTCTTCATTGGTCAGTCTGCATGAGACTGACTCTCAACTGACGTTCAAAGTCATAGGCAGCGAAGCGTCTCTGTTCAGCGCAAAAGCCCGGGTGGACAGTTTGTTTAATATAGGGTGACCATATTTCCATTTCCAAAAAAGAGGACAGGGGATCTGTGCCTATGACGTCACACTATGGCAACACCACACAAACCACGTTAGGAACCATTTTTTCCCTGAGATGCTTCTGCCGGAACCGGAAACCCGCATTGCCAGAGGAAACGAGAGAGCGCTAAACACCAGCTGCCATTTTCTAGGTGAAGATGTCTTTTGTTATCCGTAACTTCAAAGGCCTTTTCTCCTAGTCTATTATATATATTATTGAGCAGTAGGGATGCACTGATACCGATACCAGTATGACCAGAGATAAAGAGGTTACCTTAGGCCAGGGGTCTCCAACACGTCGGTAGATCGCGACGCACTTGAAAGTTGCTCGCCTGGAAGTCAGCGAGACATCCTGACTTGTAATAAACAATGGGCGGGTTTTTAATTTGTTGGTAAGCCTTCCCCGTTTTCTGTTATGTCTAACTAAAAATTAATTTTGTGGAAGTAAAAAAAATCTGATTATTGCACAAATTCTTTGGCAAACGTGTTTTACTGGAAATACGCGGACTGACTGATCGGGCTGCAACCCGGATCCTTGTTTCCGCTTTGATCAGTGGCTGCAGCTGCAGGTGGATGAAGACGAGCTTCTAAAGAAGACTGGGTGATGTCGGTTATACAGACCTGGTTTCAGACAGACACCCTCAGTAAAATAATCTGGACGATAAAGTCCTATCAGCTCGTCAATGCTAATTAAATGCTGTTTGTTTATGAACACACGATGAACACAGGCTTCCAGACTTTCTGTGATTTAGTTTCAACATATTTCCCTCAACAGTTTCAGCTGATTTTCCAAATTAGTAATAAAACATTAGTGTGAACGCTCTCCCTCTCGCTCTCTCGCGTCTGTTGCGCACAGCCGTCAGACCAGCAGAGAAAAAAAACAAACTACACCTACAACTAAGCCCCCAACCTTAATATTGTCAGCAATAAATGCAGCAAAGCATTTACCTGCAGCTATTCAATAGTAAAGCAAAACTTAACTTTCTTGAGCAAAAAAAAAAAAACAACAACCATAAAAATGATTGAGGAAATGAGGAAGAAATGTTATTTCTGTTTTTACAGTTTTAACTTCAGTTTAAACAACTTGAATTTTTTTGTTTTCATCACATTTAGCTTGTATTTTATTACAAATACCGTTAGTTTTATTCATTTTATGAGAAAATTAGTTTTGCATTGTTTGTGAAAATAATCATAATGAAACAATTACTTAAAAGGTTTGTATAAAATCCCATTTAGCATTCTATAGTTTTTAGAAGTATTTGTTCATTCATGACAACATAGCTGAACACTATGAAAAACAGAAATCGCTGCATAGGGCAGGTCACAGGGTCAGAAACAGGTTAGCTGCTCCTGTGTGCTTAAAAAGTTACTGATCCATTCTAAAACTATATCATTCACACAAAGTAGATTTGTGTTTCATTATCTGAAAGTATCTGACTAGTTAATAAACACAATGTTTTGTTTTGTTTGATGTTCAGAATGTCACTTTTTTCCTTGTAATTTTTTATAACATTGATGTGTTGAAATTCAGAGAAATCAACTTGTGAGTACAGTGCATGTTAATATAGTAAGTATAGCATTTTTAACATAAGCACATTCACACATGGAAAATATCAATGTGAATTAATCGTGTGGTGGTAGCTAACGGGCCAAAAAGGTTGGAGACCCTTGCCTTAGAGCAGTGGTTCCCAAACTTATTTAGCCGCGCACCCCCTTCTATGTCCCGACCATGTTGACGCACCCCCCAGCCCCACATCAGGGCATGGCTATATATATATATGTATATATATATATATATATATATATATATATATATATATATACATATATATATATATATACGTCTATATATATATATATATATATATATATATATAGACGTATATATATAGACGTCACGCTAAACCAGGGGTCGGCAACCTGTTCCCATCAAAAAGCCAATATTACCCGTTTCCCACAGTAAAGAAAACACCACAGCAGCCGCGGCATTGTGGGCGGGGCCTACACTCAGTCAGCAGAGAGCTGCTCACAACAGGTGACAGCAGCCGGTACCGGTCACTCGTGTACGTCAAAGTTATCTTTCATAAGAAGATAATCAATAAAATGATTTATATAAAGTGGATCCAGAAGTTGTAGCCCGTCTCTGCTACAATATCTTGATATTTTTCACCCTGTTGGTGGTTTTACTGAGCAGGTGCCACTTTTGTCATACGTTTCTTTTTAAAACATGTTTAGACTGTTCAGAATAAAAATCCAGGCTCTGTCACGTTTGATTGTTGTAATTAAACTTTGTAGGTGGGGAACGTCAGAAAAGGATCCGATCAATTTGTTTTTCCCTCGTTTACAGTGACGGAGATAACGGCACAGTGCGCCTGGCTCTGGTGTTAATCAAGTTTAATTTTATCTATTTTCACAAGAAAACAAAACAGTTAAAAGCAGGGCTTGTGTTGACCGGACAGTTCCCGTGTTTGGCCGTTTATTTTGACGGAGAAAGAATTACCTTGACGCATGCAGACGAACTGACACTTTATTCTACGCACATCGCAGATGTAGCTAAATCACTAGAGGTGGGAAAAATGATCGATTCTAAGATGCATCGCGATTCAGCCGTGCATGATTCCGCATCGATGCAGCAACGTGACATAATGAGATTCTCTCCCTATGTCTAGCTGAGCTAGGGCATGTGCGGAGGACACACACACACACACACACACACACAAGCAAAATATACTTGTTTTCAATTACATTTTCTTAGGCCTACTCACAAATGAGTTTCTGGCTACGCTAATGGTGACTTTTGACAGACTTCTCTGAGCTCCGCAGCCATTACACTTTTCACCTCGCACACCCCCTAGCGGCAGCTCGCGCACCACACTTTGGGAATCCCTGCCTTAGAGGTACAGATATTATGTTAGGAGGAGTCTCTTCAGTGGTTCTGGTTCTTATGCATTATTGAATCTTTCACTTTGATTTTACTTCAGCTTTTATAAAAAATTAGAAAAATCTTTAAAGCTTTTAGGAGAACTTTGATCTTTTCACTGTGAGGTGACCGAAACACCTCAGCCTGACGATGAATCATTACCTGTCTCCAGTCACACCTCCTGTTTCTCCCATCCACTCTGTTGTCATGGAGATCAGACTCTTCCCCCACAAACACTTCCTGAAGCTCCGCCCACTGAAAGCGACGCTCTGCCAGCTGCTGTTTCTGCTTCTGTGAGGCGTAAATATATACATAAATAAAGAAAAACATAAATAAATAAATGATACACTGGAGCATGCCAATGACCCGTTTGTGTGTACGGATGCTAAAAGTCCTTATTGTGTTTGCTGATCTGAACTTTTCTTTATTAAAAACCCCACGAATGGTGCTGATGAATGCTGAACTCACATCCTCCAACTTTTGTCGTTGCTCCTGTTGTAACTGGATCCTCCTCTGTCTGTCAGCCAGAATCTGCTGCTTGTATCGCTCCTGCTCAGCCTGCTGCTGCAGCGCCTGCGCAGTAACACAAACACACCCTCCTTAAGAGCAACATTATATAAGCAATTCCTTTCAAAGTGGGTTTCAGTGAATCTATAGGTAGTATAGGTACCAACTGTAACAACTTCACACTGGACAGCAGACTGCCCTTAACAATTCTATGGGACCGGTAGGTGCACTAGGGGGAGCTCTCTGCTTTACGGCTGTTAGCTGTTTATGTATGGAACTAGGATTGGAACAATATTCCATGTAACTTATACCGAGCTCTGTAACCTGTAACATATTTTGTAACTGTAAATTTTGTTTGGCAGCATGTAATTCTTGTTTTGTAAAACGTAACTTTCATTTTGTAACTTACAGAAAACAATCAATGTACAAGTTTCAAATCACAACTCTGAACACAAACATTTCAGTCTACAGTTACAAAACTCAAGTCTACAAGTACAAAACATTTCATCCCATTTCTAGCTTCCTTCCCAAAGAACCAATGACAGGCTTTGTCTGACCAGCCAATCACGAGTCTTGGATTCCTGTCCAAGACAATTCTTGTTGGAAGCAAGCTAGAATTGGGACAAAATGTTTTGTCCTTGTAGACTTGAGTTTTGAAAGTTGTGAAACTTGTTACAAGTCAACGAACAATGTACATTGATTTATTTTTCTGTAAGTTACTAAATAAAAGTTTCATGTTACATACCAAAGTTACACGTTACAAAATGAGAATAACATGTTACGAAACTAATCGACCTGTTACAAAATTAAAGTTACGTATTACAAAACATCATTTACATGCTACCAAACAAAAGTTACAGTTACAAAACATGTTACAAGTTACAAAACTTGGTACAAGTTAAATGTAATACTGTCCCAATCCTAGTTCCATATTTACGGTGCTGATAGCTAATATAAAGGATAGCGATTAGCTTTTTCAAGTTGCTGTCTGTCAAAAAGCACAAGAAGTAGAAAAAGAATCATTTTTCTTCTTTTGTTGGCATCATGCCAGCGCCTGGAAATAAAGGTAAGAGTAATGTCTTTGGAGGCGAAGCAAAGAGCTAAAATCAGTGAACCTCAACACAGCCAACATCCAATTGAGATGAAGATGGCTCTGAAATCATGTTTTAATTCTATAATGTGGATCTTTTTACTTCATGGCCTATATGGTATCAGCTGGCTTTGTTAGCTCATTGTTAGCTGCGGCAGGGTTCCTCTATCTAGGAGGGAGAGGCAGTTGCTTTAAAAGCTAAAATCATGCACCTTTGGTGTGTTCTTGCTGTGTTTAGTTTCAAATTCCATCTTTCAGTTCTTTTTACAACACAGAAAAGGTTTAATTACCTGCAACGTTTCGTTTGCGGCTGCAAACATCATCAGACTGATGCCGATGGTGGCGTCACTTCCTTCGTTTATCCGCGGCCAAGTTTACTCGTTGGATCGCACACGGGACTGCATCATCGGAGAGGGGAGAGCGGGCAGCAGAGGACGTTGTCGTCCTCTGCTGCCCGTGGATAAACGAAGGAAGTGACGCCACCATCGGCGTCAGCCTGATGTTAGCAGCCGCAAATGAAATGTTGCAGGTAAATAAAACTTTTCTGTGTTTTAAAAAGAACTGAAAGATGGAATTTAAAATCATGCACCCTCTACTACTAGCTTGGATTATTCTGTCAAGTAATCCCAACATGATGGCATTGACATCAACATTTTATTTTACTCCTACTGTTTTCTGATCATTGTGATTTAATAAGGAAAAAAATAAAGTGCAGCATTTATCACTTATAGTGGCTTTCAGTCCAGTTCACCTTCTGATGTACCGGTCTCTTCATCCTGCTCTGTTTGGTGTTTCGAAGGGTGATAACGAAGCACACGTTTCGCTATCCACCCCTTATCGTGTTGTTTTTGTCCTCCTGCAGCTGACCCTAACCCGATTTACCTGTAAATGTGCAGCAATTGCAAAATGCAGTCAACAACGTCCCTATACACAACGATGGAATGTTGATGAAGTGAGTAAGCCCCGCCCAGTTTGAGGCTCTGCAGCTCAGACAGAACTCACAGTAGAAACATTATTATTCAGGCCCCAGAAAATGGGTCTTCATCTGTCTAAGCTGGTATGTTGACATCTTTTATGGAGACTGGAGTATGTTTAGTCATTTTCTCCAACAGTAAACCACCTGATGGTGATTTTGCCTTCTTTAACCCAGAGAGTCTGTCGCTGCTGGGGGAAGTTTAATTTTAATTTTAACTCAAATAACTCCAGAGTCTGAGTTCTCACTGCCTCCCATATATGTAGACACATAGAAATGCACATCCATGCTGCTGCCACTTACAATGTACAGTTTAAGAAAATGATTTATGATTTCCTCAAAGAAACTTTGGGATTACATTTCTACTCTAAATGTCTCAAAAACAATTCTACTCAAATAGACAATAAATAAATGGTGAATGAAACAAATAAATAATGAAAAAGACCAGTTTTATAACACAGATGTTCTTATGACCCATTTCATCCTAAAGTAAAGTTTATGTAATTAAGATTTTAGTGTAAGTTGCTTTGATGGCAGAAAATCGAGCTCTACTGTTCTGAGCAGCAGTTAGTTTGGCCCTTCCTGCTTCCCGAATGAGCATGCTAGCCGCTCGCTGTCTGCTCCTGATAACACACTGGCGGCTCACCAAAAACACACATAAAAAAAGGAAAAGACACATTTAATACAGGAAATGAGATTTGGTGACATTTTATCAACCTCACAGTGTAAAAAGCAAGAAAATAAGTCAATCTTGGGCTGGTGTCCACAGAATCAGTGAACGTTCAAACTCCAATAGTTGATGTTAGTCATTGTTTTAGTGTTTTTTATCATTAATTTAATCCTGCGTGTAACTTTTAACGCTGCTGAGACCCTGGACATGACATCTGAGCTGGTAGGGAACTGTATGAGTATTTTTCCACAAATAGGAGATACAATTTTAAGTTTTGCATCCACAGAATAGATGCAGTGGACTTGTTGCAGATCAGCTCTAAGAAAGTGTTTTATCCCCAGTGTTGTGGCTAAGAGGAAAGTTAAAATCTTTGTTCTGGAGAAAAAGCTGCTGCTCTTCACACACTGCTCCGAGCTTCATGGAACATTAGATCAGCTGAATGCAGAAGTCTTTCAATTTAGGACAAAGATTTTTTATTATTATCACTTATGTTTTCAACAATAGTTCCTAAAACCTAAACATCAAGCCTCCCTGCTCAAACCTAAACAGACAACACGCGACTTAAACAAGACAACGCAGCCAGGAGAGTAGGGCTGCAACAAACGATTATTTGGATAATCGATTAATCGGATGGGGTCTCGACACGATTAATCGATTAATCGGATTACATGGGGAAATTTTTAAAAACTGCTAGGGAAACGTTATTTCTCTCCTTCCTTCACTTTATTTAACACAACATTATTAGAAAACAGTTAAATAGCAGAAAAACAACATGCCATTACCTAAATTGTCTTATAAGGTGTATAGACAGAGACCCTAAGCTACATCTATCTGTGACCTAAAATGCTTGGTCCAAGTTAAACAGCTTAAGGGCAATTCTCATCTGTTTTGTTTGATCTCATCTGTTGACATTTATTTTAAATGTAATTAAACATAGGCTGTGAATTAATCAAAATTGATCACTATTTCCAAAAATGACTGAAAAAATACCAAATAAAACAAAAGTAAATGAATGCCATTCTCCTTGCGATGATGCCCTGGGCAACTGCCATAAAGTCACATCAAGAAATGCTGCTGATCATTCCAATGATCCCAAATAGACTCACATTAGGCCACATGAAAGCAACTGAACCCAAAAATATATTAACCAGTATATAACTGCACTCTCACACAACACGCCTGCAGCAACAGTTAGGACGCCTCCCTCCCTTTTAAAAGCGTTTTTGCTTCCGAGGACATTGTGGTTGTAAAACCACATGCTAGTAGTCTGGCCCCGGTGTGATCAACCAGTTTCTGCGGGAATGTGACGGCGGAACCAGGGCCAGATTAACACTTTGTTGTACCCTGGGCAACAATATTCAAGGGCTCCATCATCACGACCCGAGGATCACCATAATGTGGTCACATACAGAATATTTTACTGTAATATGCAGTAAATATACTCAATACTTGAATGCCTGACAACACGTAACCCGCCCAGAGTAACCTTTGACCCACCTCGTGTGGACTGACCAATGAGGAGAGGGTCTTAACTTGAGGCCCTCTCTTCATTGGTCAGTCTGCATGAGACTGACTCTCAACTGACATTCGAAGTCATAGGCAGCAAAGCGTCTCTGTGCAGCGCAAAAGCCCGGGTGGACAGTTTGTTTAATGTAGGGTGATCATATTTCCATTTCCAAACAAGAGGACAGGGGATCTGTGCCTATGACGTCACACTATGGCAACGCCACACAAACCATGTTGGGACCCATTTTTTGTAAGAACTAAATTAATATCAGATTCTGCCAATAAAAGGGCTCTAAAACAATTCATATGTAAATATTTTGCATATTTAATGCAAAATCTCATTTTTATGCTTTAGTGCTGCAACAAGGTTTTATTAATAATAAATTATTATACCTTTTGTTTTACTACAGCATCGGTAAGCTTCCTGTGCACAGATTATTAAGGATGCTTGTTTCAGCTGTGAGATTAGACGATAGGATCAATGATAAAATAAATTGTCACACACTCCATGGAAACTTTCAGATAATCCACAAATAGAGGATTTCAAATGGTTTTGTTACTTTTTGCAAGTTTAGAAAAGAAGCTGATGAGACAGCATGTCTGATAATTTAGTTTTTCATCTGATAATATTAGAACATGTCAGTAATGTCTGAGGGGATTTTATAAACACTGTATAACTAACACTCCTGGAGAGGGCATGAATTACACAGAGGCTTCTGGGGAGCCCAGTTATGGGGGGGGGGGGGGGGGACATTTTGCCTTGGCCCCCAAAATGTCTTGAAACGGCCCTGGGTGTGTGACTGAGTTTTGAAGGTGATCTGAATTGTATCAGATGTATAACTATGACATGTGTATAACTTATTGTTTTTTACTGGTAAAAACGTGTAGTGGAGATAAATCTACCTACATTTTACTTTGTTTTCTTGTTTTTATTTAACTATTTTCCTGTCCTGTCTGTCTCTCATCTTCCTGCATCTCCTCTTAATTCTCCAGAAAATCTGTTGCCTGGATTCTTACTTTTTCACCTCATCAGTTACTTTTGAGCAGATCAAAGAGATCTCCTGACCGCAAAGCGGAGAGCGCGTTTTCGATGCTGCGTGAGGTGAAATCACCGCAGCACAGGTGATGAGCTCCGCAGCAGAGCGCTTCAGGCACAAATAAGACAGAAAATAGAGAACATGTGCAGACAAGAACGATCGTGTGCTAATTATAGTTTTTTGGTTGCGCCACTTTGAGAATGGACCGTGCGCTGGAAGCAGCTGCCTGGATCGCTGTGCAACAATGCGGAACCGGTTCGCAGCAGCGCAAGTCTGCAGGCTCTCCCTCGCGCTGATCTGCCGGCTCTCCCTCGCGCTGATCTGCCTGTACCGGCTCTCCCTCGCGCTGATCTGACTTGCTCTGGTCTGCGCGCAACGGTGGGCGGGAGGGGGGGGCGCTTTTGGAAGAGTTGTGCGACACAACGAATCGATGACGCAATTCGTTGCCAACGCTTTTAGTAATCGATTTTCATCGAATTCATCGATTCGTTGTTGCAGCCCTACAGGAGAGGCAGAGGAAACTGTCCCAACAGAATGATGGTTTTTACAAGTCCTGTGCTAGATTTGGATTGGGAGCTGCTGAGGCTAGTTCTTCAGCTGACTCTTCTCCTAGAAAAGTGGAACGTAACTCAGTCGTTTCCTCCAGTTGTTCAGTCCTAGTAAGATAAACATATTTAGTCAGTTTTTGTCTGTTCTTTATTGAAAGTAGTTAAATAAGGAATAGCGTAAAATGGCAAGGGCCACCCTTAAAATACATTTTCTACAGTTTTTAAATGAACAGTTTAAAAAAAAATTATCAATATCGATCAATGTGAATTATTTTTTATCGATTTGCTTTTTTTCTACATCATCCAGCCCTATAATGGGCTCGACACACAGGAGGCGACAAACGACCGCGATCAGCAAAATTTGTCGCTGTCGCTTTTATTACCTGACACACGGGAGGCGACCCACGGCAGCGGCCAGCGGCAAAGCCGTCTACGTGTTCTGTTCCATGGCGAAATGGAAACTTCCGTTGTTTTGTTTGGCTGTGTCAGGTTGGAGGGAATTAAGGTTATTTAAGCGGTTCAGAGTTAAAAAAGTGGTAGATATGATGTTTCACAAGGTGCTGCTAGAGTTATGTGAAATCTTATTTCTGATTTTCCTATAAAACATAATAATAATCAACTTCTCCTCCATGTTTGCTCGGAGATGTACGGAGCATCCTGTCCGCTCATTGGTCAGTGAATGAAACCTCTGTTGATTGGTCCTCGTCCGAGCGACAGCAATGAAAAGTTGAAAATATTTCAACTTTCTGGGATCGCGTCGCTGGGTCGCCTGTGCACGACACGTGCACGAGCGCAACATTTCACACTCACGTTTTTTGCGTTTCGCTTGGTAGGAGGGAGAACCGCGATTATCGCTTAGTCGCGCATGTCTCATTGAAAATGAATGGAGGAGAGGCGATGTCGGCTTCCGTGTGTCGAGCCCATTAGTCGCACAACCTCCCCCCCCCCCCCCCCCCTCAAAAGCAGCTTAAAAGCAGCACCTGTTGTCTTTGACCTCCTCGACCTCCTTGATGATCTTCCGTCTGTAAACGCAGGAACTCCCGTCTCAACGTCCATTCACCAGGAACGTTCACTATAGAGCTGAGATGAAAAAATAAAAATGACTAAAATAAGTGAAAATGGAGAGAAAAGTAATGGAGCCCGCTTTACAGTGAGCAGCAGGGGGCGGGGTTAGAATACATCATTCAGATAAGTCTGTTGTTGGACATCCAGCGACATCAAGAGTAATCAGTCATGGGCAGAAATCTGATTTATTAGCATGTAGGCTAGCATCAGGGATCCAATTAGGGGGCAGCCAGGGGGGTGGGCAGACGGCTTTCCTAACCCCGTGACACCTGGCTACCCCAGAGGCCTGTGCGGAATTCGAGCCAAGGTTAGCATCAACGCTGTGAGTCTGGACCAATGGACCTAAAGCCACTGATTTATTTCCACAGGTATTTGTTGTCTTCGTTTAAGCTACCTGGGCTCGCCTTCCTCCTCTGTGACCTCATCGTCTTCATCCTCACTGCCACTATACTCGTACTCCGGACCCTCTGAAACAGATGAGACAGATACCAGGAAGTCTGTAAAGGAGGAGGAATGGATAAATACTCTCGAGTCCTCGCTGACACCAGCTGCATTGTGTGTGAGTGTGAAAGTAGCAGATTAGAAAGTGTAAAATTGTCCGTCCACTGCAGCTGCAGGGCCCGAGATGAGCTGTGGTTGCTGTTTGGCTCCAAATGTAATCATATCTTATTTCTGTTCCTTAACTTTAGCAGCAACCTTATGGAACTAGGATTGGGGCAATATGACATTTGACTTGTTCCAAGTTTCGTAACTTGTAACACGTTTTGTAACTGTGACTTTTGTTTTGTAGCATGTTATTCACGTTTTGTAATACGTAACTTGCTTCCAACAGGAATTGTCTTGGACAGGAATCCAAGACTCGTGATTGGCTGGTCAGACAAAGCCTGTCATTGGTTCTTTGGGAAGGAAGCTAGAATTGGGACAAAATGTTTTGTAACTGTAGACTGAGATGTGTGTTTTGAGAGTTGTGAATTGAAACTTGTACATTGTTTTCTGCAAGTTACAAAATGAAAGTTCCATGTTATGTACCAAATATTACATGTTACAAAACATGTTACAGGTTACAAAGTTTGGTACAAGTTACATGTAATACTGTCCGAATCCTAGTTCCATACAACCTCGTCAGCATCAGCAGCAGCACTTTCTCTTGTAGAAAACATGCAGCATCAAACACTATTGCTGTAGTAACATTCAAACCATAAAACACATATCTACAGGGAAGTCTTCCTCATCAGTACTGCTGGTATGCGAATGTCTTGCTTCTGATTGGCTAACAGCAACGTGACTTTTCTGCTGCCTTTGCTCACTCTTCTTTCTTGGTTAAAAAACGTTTTATCTCCACAAATAACACAGGCCTGAAGGAGTTCCACATGTCGTGTAGCTGCTAATGCTAAGGGTTAGCTTCTACTAACCGAGATGCATTGTGCTCTGTGTTCCTGGTTGCAAAATCAAACCAGCTGTCGGCAATCCCAATCCAAGGTGAATGAAAGCTAATTTCCCCAGTGCGAAGAAGAGATTAGCTTCACCTCATCGTGACTAAAGCCTGATTAAAACGTCTTCGTCAACTCAGTCGCAGAGTCACACACACACTGCACTGATGCACATCTATTTAGACTTCTCCATCACATGGGGAGTGTTGCAAAGCTGTTCCCAGCAGGACAGGAAGGTGTTTGGGGGGTCCATGATAGTGAATTTACAATTGTATGTTTATATTGTGTTTGTTTTAGAGACCTTTTACACAAACACATTTGTCCTCCACGTCCAAATCCCAATTCTTCTGCATTTTCCTCCCATGAACAAAAAGTTTGCCACATATCTTTGCATTCAGTCACGGGTGTATAAACGTTCATAACGTTGAA